AGGTGTTAAACTAAACAACAAATAATAGTAGCGATGAATTTCAAAAGTAATTGTGCCGGATTGTTTGTCTGTTGAAGACACAGAGAGAGAGAGAGAGAGAGAGAGCGAGAGAGAGAGAGAGAGAGAAAGAGAGAGAGAGAGAGCGAGGCGGTATGAATCTTTTTTTTTAAATTAAACAAAAGAATTTAAACACTTACAGTTCAGTGCATGATCAGCATCGTCGCTGCCATCCAGTGCAATCATCAATAAACGACCTCCTGACATATTTGGCTGTGACACAAGACAAAAAATAATACGAAAGAAGTATTTTTTTTTCTATCTTCTGTTCGGTGACTTCACGGTCCGGACGAGCAGTTCACAATTCGACAGTCGGAAGGAGAACTGGACCAACGAAGGAGAAATGGTTTGTCTAGTTATGAACACTCCCCCCACTCTCTCTCTCTCTTTCTCTCTCTCTCTCTGCCTACACGCAGTTTTCCCCAGACACTAGAATATGTAAGTCGTTTGTTATGTTGAGGTGTGTTGCTTCTCGGAGAGGAAAATAGCAAAAAAGGAGACATCGGCGTTTGTCCCTAGCGCCTAGTACGGTAAGTAATGACAAGTAAGGAAATTGTAAAAATCAGAGACCGGCAGAAAGTGCGTTAGAAAGATAGAGACGTCTCTCACCGCGTAGCAAACTCAGCCCGTAAACAATTGCTTCTGTACAAATAGTACGACATGCCGTGGATTAGTGTTTAGTTTATTAAGCTGGTTTCACAAACCATTACTACTGTAGTGAGGCAGACACCAAAAGAGGTTCAATTAAAATAGCAGTCTCAAAATGGAGTCCGCTCGTCCATGTGAATATCCGCAATAGATCAGATAAAGTGAAAAGAAATTAATCAAATAAATCATTTTTCTATACATTAAGTTAATTTCATAGCAATGAATTGGATGAAATATTTAAGTTTATTATAATTCTTATTAACACATTAATACCCATCATCCCATTTTCCTAAATCACCCGGATTTTAGAAATCAATAATTAATTTTAATGATAATGGTGAAAAAGCCGGAAACATTGGTCGTTTATTGGCTGAACAGTCAACGTTGATGTCGGTTGAAATTTATACTCATTTTCTTGAAAGAGTTTTTCAGGAATTTAGACCTATCAAGTCCACTGTTATCCCTCTTTCTAGTATTAATGCCTATAGTAAAATCAATTAATGAATACATTCTTATACTAAAGACGTTACCATTCCTGTCACTTAAAATGCATTCTTAGAGTAAAATCATTTGTAAGGCATTATAGTATGATAAAATCACTTGCAATACAATCCGAGCATTTGTAATGCATTGTTATAGTAAAAATCATTTGTAATGCATTGTTATAGTAAAAATCATTTGTAATGCATTCCTATAGTAAATGATATGAAAATGGTGCGGGCTTTGTGATTTCGTAGCCTCAGTCTTTATGATCTGATGAAGTCTTGTAGAAACTTATAATTAATGGTAATGATGAGATTATCCGTTTCCTTATAAGGAAATATTCGACATTGATTGATTGATCGAACAGTAAGCGTTACTATCGGTTGAAATTTATAAAATATTTCTCTCTCTTTTTTCACAAAATTAAACGTTTGAAGTCCACTGTTGTCGCCTTTTCTATATTTGATGGGAGTTTGCTTCCAAATTTTTTGTTTAAGGTGACGTGAAAAATTCAAAATTTTAATTTTATCTTTACAATGGATGGGATACGTGAGTAACGATGAAGTTTTAAGGAAAAAGGATTTTTTATGGCTTATCAACCCTTTGCGGGTTATTTAAAGCCAAAACATATTTTGAATTGTAGGAGCAATTCCTTTGCGAGTGAATATTGCATTAAGAAACAGATTTTTGAGAGTAACAATGATTTTTGCAGATACAAGTTCTACTATTTAACCCATAGCAAGAGGAGGGAGATGGATTTATACTTTTCCCAAGGGTATTCGTGCGTAAATGAATGTAAGGAACCTAACTGGAATTCGAAGTTGCCTCTTCTACTTCTAACTCAATTACACCCCCCCGCACATCCAAAGAAAATGGAAACAAAGCCACTTATACTTAGAATCAAAAAAAGACAGGTGAAATTTTTGAGATATGTAAAATGGACAAATTTGACATGGACAAGACATCTTCGAAGGCACACAGAGAAATAGCGAGTAACCTACTTAACGATTGATCGATCGATTTTTTTAACGGTTTATCAACCTTTTACAGGTTATTTAAAGCTAGAAAATATTTTTAGATTATAAAAAACTTTGGGGATAATTATTTACTCATACAAGAATAAGCGTTGAAAATAATCGATCATAAGAATAAACGACAATAAGAATAAGCGATCACAAGAATAAGCGATCACAAGAATAAGCGATCACAAGAATAAGCGATCATAAGAATAAGCGAGCTTGAAAATAATCGATCATAAGAATAAACGACAATAAGAATAAGCGATCACAAGAATAAGCGATCATAAGAATAAGCGAGCTTGAAAATAATCGATCATAAGAATAAATGACAATAAGAATAAGCGATCACAAGAATAAGCGATCATAAGAATAAGCGATCATAAGAATAAGCGAGCTTGAAAATAATCGATCATAAGAATAAACGACAATAAGAAAATAATGGATTATAAGAATAATTTTACTTTGTGCTATACTTTAATGACCTTGTGCCAAACAAGGCTAAAGATAAATAATTATGGACCCCTCTCTGTGGAACAATGATGAACAACTCTCGGGAATTATTACTACCGGAGTGAGTTCGCTCATTCATACATGATGAACTTGTGTACAGAACTGCTCAGTTATTTGATGACATTTGAATGATTTTAATAAAAGACATACAAGTCTTGAAAGGAAAGTTTTATATGAGAAAGAATTGGCATAAATAATCTTAAAACTCATTTTGGCACATTTACTTATTGCATCTGGAATTGGCATCGATGACTTCTTCAGTACGAGGTCTGAAACGTTGACATGCCCAGATCAAATGATCATTATCAAGTTTAGATATTGTGTTAGATATGGAAAGCTTCAGAGGATTTTATAGTGTTATGGGGACGTTGATTGACGTCCCTTTGTACTACGCCCCATACGTACAAATGACTGGAGAGTTAGGAGGTTATAACTCATATATTCTTTGGAGCGTTTTGATCATATGAGTCTGTCGTGCCTCTTATATTTTCTATACAAACCGTATGTTGACGCTCGACAATCCAAAGCAGACTGCGTAAATTCGTTTTCTGCGCATTAGCTTCACACACATATCCGCATTAACTAAAACAAAATATACAATATACCATGACCAGTCAGAGCCACTCCCGCTCAAAAAACAAAACCTTAATTTCGAGCCGATTGAAGGCTATATATACCCAAATTCAAACAAACCCAAAACAGACCAGCGTTTGATGTCAACACCAACAACCTGAGAGAGAAACGACACCGACGACGATAGCTATCACCAATATCCATTTCAGTTCTAATTTCGCCATTCTCTCTCCCTGTGGCCTTAGCAACAGCAGCAGATACAAATTACTAGGTTTTGTATATATGTAAATAAATTATTTATTTACCCATACCCGATGTCCTCTTTTATTTGACGCTTGAATTTACGCTTGCCGGGGCAGAGAAGGAATTAAACTGCACAACACTAGCAACAACACTATTCTGTCTTCCAGATTACCCATTTCCGCTTCCGCAAAAAGACTTGTTGGTAGTTGTACGATCTTCTTTTGCTCACGCTCTCTAAAGCCTCACAACCCCTCTCCAACACCTCTTTATAGCCAGCAGCATTGACCCTTAAGCCCTGAGAGAAATGAGAAAGTATGACGCTTCCTTCATTGCTCACGACACCCTGAACCATCACAGACGGACATTTTGTGTGTATGACCGCTGGAACATCCTGAGGGTCTCTGCATAACCGTCTGTCTTATCCTCGGTTGATCTTTTTGGTCCTGATCAAAGTTTTTCTCTTATAAATGTAGTTTATACTGCAACTAAGCGGAGCGGACCTCATAGTTTCTCGGAGAGGAAGCGTAACCTGGTGTGGTAGCACAACCATTGGTTCCGTCTTCCTAAATTCATTCACAAGTCTTGTGTTAACCCATGGCGGTGCGGTTTTTTGGTACATAGCAAAGGTACCGTACAATCTGATGCCCCCCCCCCCAGGCAGATAACATCAATTTCTGACCATATATATATATATATATATCGTGATCACTTTCCAAGCACACACACACACACACACACACACACACACACACACACATGTATACAGGCGTATGCAAAAGTAGATATACAGTTATTAAAAACAAAACGTACGCACAAAATTGTCGGAGTTAGCTCCTCCTTAATTCCCTAATTATTTACTAGGGGTCGCTCTTCCTACACTATAAATACTGGGCGACTTCTTGCCTCGTTCTCTTTTTCACTTTGCATTTCAGCGGACACATTTAAAAATGTAATCTCTCAGAGAAATCAGAAGTTTTTGCCCACTTATGGGAAAACGCCATAAAACATACATACACGTACGTACAAACATTCACCAATATACAAACACTTTACGTTCACACACAAACACAAATGTTAATATCTTTGTCACTTGTAAATTTGTTGTTTAATACATATATTTGTTGACATATATATATCGGTCTTGTTTGTTTTCTTTAAACTTCTTTATGGTGATTTCAATCTCTGAGTCCGCCATTTTCTTGTAGTAGGACATTCTTCTAGCAGGAATAAACAGCACGTGTCCCTAATTCAACAACTCGCCAACCCACACAGGTTCTCTACAAAATCTACTGTATTGATTATACAAACATATCAATAATAAACGTACCAATCCCTCAAATACCCAAACTATCATTCACACACCCTTCTTTACCAACAAAATACTTAGCATTATCATTATTTATTAAAAAATAAAAATTATAATAATTGTATTATAATAAAGATTATGAGAACAAAAATGAATTCTAGAACCAATATTGTAATACTGGTATAATACTTATTGTATACTTACTTTTGCAGTTACCTATATATATATATATATATATATGTGTGTGTGTGTGTGTGTGTGTGTGTGTGTGTGTGTGCGTGTGTTTATGTTGTCAATTGGAAACATTCATGAAAGTAGATTTGTTTAGAAATATATTCGATAATGCATTTTGCCATTTAAGGCTTAATTAGATTCGAAAATGAAAGAAAAAAATAAAAAATAAAATGCGAGTATGTTTATTTGTGTGTATGCTTAAATAATGAATTTTTGTACTTTTTCTCTAAGTCGGCGTTTCTCGTGACTAAAGAAGAAAGAAAATGAGTGAGTTTTTTTTTTTTTTTTTTTGAAGTCGTTAACATTTATTCTAATCTTTTCTTTACTCTCAGTTCGAGTCGAAAGATATTTTCCCAGCTTTTTTCTATGGAATTAAAGAAAAATCCTCTCCCCCATATCAGAATGGGTCGAAAGTGAGAAATTTATTTAGCCTTTTCTGAAAATGGATCCAAGGTAAATCCGCATATAATCCTGCAGAATGGGTTGAAAGTAAAAGATCTGGTTTCTTTTGTTTATTCATGTTTTCCATGTCGACAGAATATGTTTTAAAATTAGGAGATATGATCCCGACAAAGTTTTTTTTTTTTAATTTTGACAACTGGAAACGTTAATGTACATAGATTTGTTTAGAAATATATTCAATAATGCATTTTTTATCCTAATTTTAAACACGGAAAACGCTTGGATAAACCAAAAAATGTATTTTCAACCCGTTCTGAAGAATTATATGAAGATTTACCTTTGGGATTAGGCATTAAAATATTCAACATGAGAACTATATTCGAGGGGGTGCTGAAAAGTACTCGTCCCAATCCACGTCCCAAATTCTGAACAAAAGAGAAGACAATTTTTTTTCGAAAAGTTTCCTAATCGGGTTGACAACTTCCCAGCAAACTTTTATATGTGCCTGCATATATATATATATATATATATATATATATATATAATATTTGTTTGTGTGTGTGTATATATATATATATAGAATGCGTGAGTAAAATAATATTTGAACAACTAGTACTTATCTATGTATTATCTATATATCGATCTAGATACATAGATACATAATGAATAGACTGGAATAGATAGATAGATAGATAGATAGATAGATAGATAGATAGATAGATAGATAATGTATAGACTAAAATAAATAGAGATATTAAGATTCTGACATGTAGCAAGAGTACAGTACTAGATAGATAGAGAGAGAGAGAGAGAGATAAGTATAGACTGAAATAGATAGATATTAAGATGCTGGCATGTTGTAAGAATAGATAGATAGATAGATAGATAGATAGATAGATAGATAGATAGATAGATAGATAGATAAGTATAGACTGAAATAGATATTAAGATGCTGGCATGTAGTAAGAATAGAAGGAGAATTAGATAGATAGATAGATAGATAGATAGATAGATAGATAGATAGATAATGAACAGACTGGGATAGATAGATAGATAGATAGATAGATAGATAGATAGATAGATAGATAGATAGATAGATATTCTGGATATGCACACCCAGAAAAAGAACATTTGAGTTAAAAGCTGTCTTACAAAGGACATGCGTAATAAAACATCTAAATGACATTACAATACATGATACTTAACCGCAAATGAAAGCTATAGAAAAACAATGATCTCAACAGGAATGTAGTAGTCGGTCACAAATGTCGGTCTGTACCGAAGAAGAAGAGAGAGATTCCGACGTTGAATTCAGTTGCCGATAATCGATCAATATTCTGTTTTATTTAGAAAATGTTAAACAGACGAGAAGGTAACGATAAGGTGAGAATGATAGAGAGAGAATTTAAAAGAAGGAGATGAAGTAAGGGAAGATAGGCGTTGTAAAAAGGAAGGAAGAATGAATGAATGAATGAAGATAGGATAAAAAGAAGGATCGAGCAAAGAGAGAAAAAAAAAGAAGAGGAAAAAGTAAAAAAAAGTAGATCAAGTGAGAAAAAAGAAAGAAAGAAGTATAAAAAGAAGGTTGGACGAGAAAGTAAAAGAAAGAGAGAAGATGGTACAAAAAAGAAGGATAACCAGAACAAGAAAAAAAGAAGGGGAAAATGATATAAAAAGAGGATAGTGGGAAAAGAAAGAAAGAAAGAAAGAAAGAAAGAAAGAAAGAAAGAAAGAAATTTAAATCTAATTGGGCGTGTATCGTCTGCTTTTCAGAGAGAAAGCAGACGCAAACTTTTGAATTTCAAAAATATTTTTGGTACATTTCTATTTGTGGGAAAACAGCTGCGTTTGTCTTTTCATCCAAAACCAATAAAAAGATTTCCCTCCAAATTCCGAAATGTGAAGAAAGAAAGAAAGAAGAAAGAAGAAAGAAAAAAGAAAGAAAAAAGAAAGAAAGAAAAATGAGGAAAAGAAATTAGGGAAATGAAGCTATGGGAGAAAGAAAATGAGAAGGAAATATGAAAAAGAAAGAGAAGAAAAAAGGACGAATAAACAAGTACAGGGTAATCCGAAAGTCTTGTCACCCCCTAGTTTTCTTCCAAACTGTAGGAGCACGTGTCAGCCATATGAAATAGGAAATTATATTATGTAGCGGTGACAAGACTTTCGGACCACCCTGTAGCTATACGAAAGAAAATAGTCTTCCTCAACCTTGAAAGCTCCCATCAGTAACCATTGAACTATATTTTTAATTACGAGAAGGGACTGAAAATTCTCCATTTGACCAAGAAACATTCCTCTCCTCGCTCCCGCACAATATTTGGTTATTTGATCAGATTTTGGAATGTAGGTCGGGCCGAGAACTTTTCAGCGCCTCGTTAAATAATGCAGGTCTGTCGTTGTGCAGTGAAGTGTTGCCATAACAACAGAATGTTGAACTTGACCTTTTGTTTTACGTCAAGATGAATGACGTTGTTTTCAAGGTGACTCTTTTCACGGAAAAAAACCAGCTCAAATTGATCTGCTAAAAAAAAAAAAATGAAAGAATATTATATTTTATACAAGGTAAATACAATTTAGGTTAGAAAATAAAATTTAATTATTCATTTTAAATTTTGACTAGTAATTTTCTTTCCTCTTAATTTTCTTAAGAATTTATTTTCATCACAATTTTACATTCCCTGCAGTAAAAGTTAACAAAACAAATATGAATAAAGAAAACTACAAGTCAAAATTTAAAATGAATAACCTTGGACAAAATCAAATCTGAAAGTAAAAGGTACGGTAGAGTAATGGGTAGCGGCTCGGAGAGCCGAGTTCGAATTCCAGTCGAATCCATTGCATTCACTTATGGATTAATACCCTTGGGAGAGGTATGAATCCTCTTCTTCTCCTTCCAGCTATGGGTAAATACCAGGACAGGAATTGAATAGCAACTTTTCTACCGCAGAAAGAAATGGCAACCTACTGCGGGAAAAATCTGCCTCGTCAGTCTCGAAAGATACGTGATCGCCTAAGCGTGTATCACACATGGCACATAACTAACTGACTAATAACATCATTGGGAATAAAATGAATGTTTTAAATAATCAATTAAAATTTTTGGAATTAAAAAGAACGCAATCGTATATTTTCAAGTTATCTACGAAAAAGCAAGAGCATTATCAATGAGTTATATCTTAAAAAAATATAACTCTTCTCCGTCAACTAGTGTTTTGGAAAAGACGAACATTGTATATCAGTTTAAATGTCCTTTGAGAAAATAAGTACATATGTTGGTTTGACAACCACAACATTATCAAGGCGATTTACACTTCATTTGTCGGATACAAGTTCTATTACACGACATGTAAAGACTAATTCCTGTTCACCTTCACAATACAGAGAAATACTTGTTGACAACACCAATATACCGTGAAAATAATAAACAAAAATTTCAAATTCTCAAGGCCCTCTATATCAAAAGCAACCAATGAACCAACACTAAACAAAATTTATTACGAGTGTAGCAGCCACGTGTTGAAATGCATTTAATAAAATTTGCATTTCTACCAATTTTTATCACACACACACACACACACACACACACACACACACACACACACACACACACATATATATATATATATCATCATGGCTTGGCTTTGCAAAACAAAGATGAGGGAGTCTGTACACGTCATATATATGTTTTGGTTTGGTTTGTTGTGTTTTACGGCATATCAACCTCACCTGGTTATTTAATGCCGACAACTTTTTCTTGGTAATATTTTGTTTTGTCAAAATCTCTTTCTGGTAATACTTTTTCCCTCAAAAATGTCTAGCTCGTAATATCATTTTAAAAAATGTATCGCTGGTAATATTTCTTTTTTCTTCAAAAATTTATTTCTGGTAATAATTTTTTACAACGTATTTCTGGTATTAAAACCTATTTTTACACTTTTATAATGCTTTTTACCTCAGTTTCGGGGTTAACTATTTACCCATAGCTGGGACCTTAACAGGTGCTACTACCCTTGGTCAAGGGGACCTGGGAACACCAGCAATTAAGAGGTGGTTCTATGCTCCTCAAAACCTCCTGATCAGAGCCCTTGCTGCTAGACGTAGTTTCTCGTCTTACCCAGGACGAAGATGTAGTTTATCGTCATACCCAGGACGGACGTCATATATATATATATATATATATATATATATATATAAAGAAAAGATGTATGAAAAAATGGAAAAAGCTTTTGTGACGCGTCTCATCCGATGAAGTCCTAACGGATGAAATGCGTTGCAAAAACATTTTTATTGAGATGCGTGTTTTGTAAGATCATTCCATGGTTACCAACGGATAAATTTAAATTTTAAAATAATTATAACAGATTACGTTTACGCGTGTTTTTAAAAATCTTAGTTACAATAAGTACGTCTTTGCAATTCACCGCTGAGGATGATCTCGGAGGAGATCGAAAGTACTTGGATATGAAAAAACTACGGCGTCTTCCTTGAAGAATTTAATCTTAACATCAAGAAACTGATTAGAGAACGTGAATGGATTATTATAAAAATAAATACATAATATGTCTATATTATTCAATGAAACATGTTTGAATGAAGATATACCGCTTAAATATACATATTTAAAAAATATATTATTTAGTACTGTTCAGTTATTTATTGCTCGTGTACCAAAATATAAAGCTATAAAAACTCCCAAGAAAACAACATAAAATCATTCATATATTTTTCCAGTTGAAAAAAGGGAAAAGAACACTTCAGACTTCAAAAAGATCCCCACTAAAAATAACAATGCAAACATTAATAACCAACTTGTATCAGAATCTTGTAGCAGAAAATGAATACAAAGTAACTTGTATTAGAAACCAGCATTTCTAATAACTGATTAAAAAGAAAAACAAAACTGCCACCAGCTCACCTATATCCAAAACTATCACCGATCCTACATATACCATCATGCTATACCTTAAACAACTAAAACCTTTATCGATCCTTAAATAACTCTATAGTGTTTGAAGGACTGTTAAGCCAAATCCTGTTTCCACTTAAGCTGTACGAGCACGACCAGGGATTGAACTTACATTTGGTATCACAAAATTCACAAACCAACACTTCTATCCACTAGACTCGGTTTTAAAAGACACGCCACCCCGATCCTTATTCTCAATTCCCCCAGAGTGATATTAATCATTCAGTAACACCCACTTGCCCTGATTGGGGTCTACAGCCTTATGTATCAACCTTCCTAGAGTTGATGTCACGATAAAATCGTCTAGCCTCCTGTGCTGTGATCAGGTTAATAAGAGTAGATAGGCTCACCTATCGTCTGGCTTGTACTACTTCCATGTTTATTGAACAGGAATAAATGATCATCACTTGTTCTCTGTTTAGGGCATGGTTTACCGGTTCTTTCTTTCTTCCAAAGACATAATCTGAACTGTCTTAACTTTTTGGTGATCTGACTAATCAGTGGCCGCAGGTTAGTTGTTTGCTGGCTGCTGCATCCGACTGGATATCAAGGAGCCCGAACTCTTTGGTAGCGCTTAGAGAGGCAGCTCTCGTCAACAGTTGCACAATATTGGGGTATTTTTAGTGCCATGTCGTGCATAGGTAGGTGTCCCTGCATGCATTTCCGGTGGACAAACCTGAGGCCACATGCTTTTGTCTCGGTAACGTTGAGTATTGACGACAGATAGTGATAATTATGTTGGCCTTTTTCTTTTTCTCCTCAAATAAATCTACTTATGACAAATACAATGAAAAGAAATACGACAAAACCAGTAAACAAACCTTTCTTTTTCCAATATTCATGGTATCTGCTCCAGCTTCTGCAGTGTAGAATCTTTTCTCTTGGAGTGGTCGCCAAATAACTTTACAATTTGAGAACCCAATTTAAATTCTTCCATCGCAACCAATGAAGTCTCGCTTCCAGGTTATTTTACTCTTTGCTGAAAAGATTCCAGCATTCACATGCATGGCCGTGATGTTTGAATCCGGGGTCATCTTCTAATGGCAAGGGGATTGTCATTTGATTTCCCAGACAACTCTTTCATGTACTTTCGACTTTCGTTATCATACTCTTTTTCCTTTATCGCCCTCCTCTTCACGGGACTGTAATATATTAGACAACATTGCTGAGAGTAGAGAAATGGCACTCCCTCTTTCTCCATCCTTCTGTGAACATCTCTGTGTTCAGTGATTTTAATGTGTATCATATAACGTTGCTTAAACATTTTGATGTTACTGATGTTACTGGTATTCAGACTTTCAATTTTTCCATTGCTCAGTCCCTTACTCAAATTGTGGATTTCCCTACTCGTTTTCTTAATAAATCTGAGCAACATGCCTCTTTAATTTATTTATTCCCTACCTCATCTCCTAGCTCTTGCCGAGCTTTGTAACACTGTGCTCTTGGTAACTCGAATCTGTAGAATCTAGTGATATTTCACTCCAATCATCTATTAGACAGGAACCTCCTATTCATAAGACCTTTTTCCGTTAGCAGCATGCTGATTAGGATTCACTTTGTGACTTTTTTCGAGACGCCCCTTGGATAGATATTTTTAACTTTCCCATTAAGAATTCCGCCAATGAGGTTTCATCTTGGGTTAAAGCCGACATAGATACGTTTATCCATTTTGAAAATACCAGGTGAAATCTCAATATTCTACATGGTTCACGCCAGCATGTTTTGCTGATATATTCCACAGGAAGTATTATTTCCGGCTATACCAGCATATCAGTTCTGATTATAACAGACGCCTATTCGTGGCTCCATGTAACAAGTGCAAATGTATCCTCGAAAGAGCGAAGTCTTTTTTTTTTGCTGAGAGAATGAGGCACCGTATTACATCTAACGACTTTGGTTGTCGTGATTAACGGTGGCTCTGTAATAGTGCATTAAATAAGACCAAATTTTCTATTCTTCCTCTCTTCGATCAATTTGAGGTGTTAACATCTTCTGTTAATAAAACTGAATGTTTTGCCCGTGCATTCTCTCTAAACTCTACTCTCGACTCATTAGGAGTATCCTTGCCTAACTTTCCACTTAGAACTGAGTCTCTGTTGAATATGCATATAACTCCTTGTATGGTTTCTGCTATCATCTCTAATCTGGATCCTCAAAAAAGCATGTGGACGTGAGGATATCCCTTTAATAATCCTTAAGAAGTGTGCACCTGAACTGACTCATGTTCTCTCTAAACTCTATAATAAATGCCTCGCAGCATTTTGCTTGCCTGCTTGTTGGAAATTCTCATCTGTTTTTCCAGTTTTTAAGAACACAGGTGAACCTTCCGAATCCTTCCAACTATCACCCTATTTGCCTTCTACCTCTTTTTAGTAAACTACTAAAGCACCCAATCAATGTCGAATTAGTTAAGCACCACATATCGCAGGAGCTTCTTTCAGACAAACAATATGGCTTCCGTTTTTCTGAATACGCTGACGACTTGACGATCATTGCTGAAAGAGTCGACCAAGCTTTAGAGAAGAATGATGAAGATCGAGCTGTTGCTTTGGACATCTTAAAAGTGTTCGAGAGGTCTTCTTCAAAAGTTGAAAAGTTACGGCATCTCCGGTAAATTTTTTGAACTGATTCAGTCTTTCTTATCAAATCGTGAAATGAAAGTTTCCCTGAACGGCCACTCTTCTAGATCCTTTTCTACCACTGTACCCCACCAGGGCTCTACCCTTGGTCCTACCTTGTTTTTAATTTTCATTAACGACCTTCCCGATGGTGTCACCTCTCAACTTAGTATCTATGCTGATGACGCAAGCATTTACTCCTGTCTCGATAGTAAGTCTCAACAGTTCCATAAGGTAAATTGTCGGCTGATCTCAAAAAAGACCTACAGTCTGTTGTTGACTGGGGCAAGGAATGGCTTGTTGATTTTGACGCCTCCAAAACGAAACTGCTCTTTATTAATCATCAGAGAGATCTTTTTCTGTATTCCATCATCATGGCTGATGCTAGCCCCCAGGAAAGTGACTCTTTTCGCCTTCTCGGGCTAACATTCCCGGCCGACATGAAGTGGAAAGACTATATTGAATACATTGCTATATCAGCTGCTGAGAAAGTTGGTTCACTGTATTCACAATCTATCTTACATATCTATAAGTCTACCATTCGTCCATGCTTAGAATATTACTTCCCATATGGTCAGGTGTTTCTGCTATATATTTAGAGATTCTTGATGAAATAGAAAGAAGAATCAGCAATATTATTGGTTCTGACCTGGCATCCGGCTTCAGCCACATTCCCACCGCCATATAATTGCTTCCCTGTGCCTTTTCTATAAATACTTTCATGGTAATTGTTCGGGCGAGCTCTTCGCTATGGTACCAAGACTTTTTGAATTTAAGCACAGTACTAAACTGGCAACATGGTCCTATAAATTTACAGAGTTGGCTAGATATAATCGTAAGTTCTATGCCGAAAGTTTCTTTTTTCGCACTTCCCGCTTGTGGAACTCTCTTCCGGTTCCATGCTTTCCGGTCAACTTTAAAATTTAAATGCAATGTCAATGGCTATCTGCTGTCTTCCTGGTTACTCTTCAATTGTTCTTGCTCTTTAGTAGGGTTTCTGTTTTCTAATTTTCCCACTCCCAGTAACCCCTTGTGTCTTAGTGGTTTTGCTGTCTTGCTTCGGGTGAATTCGACTAAAAAAAGACGAGATCTCCCGAGACATAGACAGAGGAACGAGATTAATTCACCATTGTTGGTTAAATAAAGAGTTAAGTTTGAAATTCTTTGTATGTTACCCGGATCAACAGACATCCGAAGAAAGCTGGAAAGAAAGATAAGGACATTACATTATTTACATTATTCGGACTATTGTCCTCATCTTTGTCGCTATATTTATCACAACGTTTCGGCCGTTGTACGCTCCGGCCTTCTTCAGGTGGTTGGAATTTCGAACTGAAACCTTTATTTTGCTCACTGGGGTAGACTGTTCTAGTTCCACGTGCCATGTTTGATGGATGTCAGTTATCAGTTATCTCCTGCTAATTTCCCTCTGAAAGTTCTCTACTGCCTTAACCGGGTATTGAACTCACACACATGGCACAGTGGATGGGGGCGTTGGTTGGATCCAGTGCCAGGACCCAAAGAGTGTGAGTTCAATACCCAGTTAAGGCAGTATTTCTTCCTTCTTTCACTTCTTCTCTTAATTCTTCCTTCCGTTATTCTTTCTCTTATTTCCTCCTTCCTTGAATCCTTCCCTTAATTCTTTATTCCTTCCCTTATTTCTTCCTTCCTTTATTCCTTCCCTTATTTCTTCCTTCCTTTATTCCTTCCCTTATTTCTTCCTTCCTTTATTCCTTCCCTTATTTCTTCCTTCCGTTATTCCTTCCCTAATTTCTTCCTTTCTTTATTACTTCTCTTAATGCTTACTTCCGTCGTTCTATCTCTTATTTCCTCCTTCCATTATTCCTTCCCTTAATTCTTCTTTCCTTCCCTTATTTCTTCCTTCCTTTATTCCTTCCCTTACTTCTTCCTTCCATTATTCTTTCTCTTATTTCCTCCTTCCTTTATTCCTTCCTTCCTTGATTCCTTCCCTTATTTCTACCTTTCTTTATTCGTTCTCTCTTTCGTTCCTTCCTTTATTCCTTCCCTTATTACTTCCTTCCTTTGTTACTTCCCTTATTTATTCCTTCATTTCTTCCTTCCCTTATTTCTCCCTTCCGTTATTCTTTCCCTTATTTCCTCCTCCCTTTATTCCTTCCCTTAATTCCTCCTTCGTTTATTCCTTCCCTTATTTCTTCCTTCCTTTATTCCTTCCCTTATTTCTTCATTCTTTTATTGCTTCTCTTATTTCTTTCTTCCTATATTCCTTCCCTTATTTCTTCCTTCCTTTATGAGCTCCCTTATTTTTTCCTTCCTTTATTCCTTCTCTTACTTCCTCCTTCATTTATTCCTTCCCTTATTTCTTCCTTCCTTTATTGCTTCCCTTATTTCTTCTTTCCTTTATTCTTTTCCCTTTTTCTCCCTTCAGTTATTCTTTCACTTATTTCTTCTTTCCTTTATTCCTTCCCTTATTTCTTCCTTCTTTTATTTATTCTCTTATTTCTTCCTTCCTTTATTCATTCCCTTATTTTTTCCTTCCTTTATTCATTCTCTTTTTTCCTTCCTTTTTTTCCTTCCCTTATTTCTCCCTTCCTTTATTTCTACCCTTATTTCTTCCTTCCTTTGCTCCTTCTTTTATTTCTTCTTCCTTTATTCCTTCCTTTATTTCTTCCTTTTTTTATTCCTTCTCTTATTTCTTCCTTCCTTTCTTCCTTCCCTTATTTCTTTTTCCTTCTTTCCTTCCATTTACACCATTTCTAAATTTGACCTAATTTAACTTTTTGCATTAATTTTACCTAAATTCGTTTTCTATTTTAGCTTCCTTTTCTTTCAATTTCTTCTTTATCTCTTCCTAACTTCCTTATCTCCTTGCTTCTTTCCATTCGCTTTTTTTATTTTTCTTTCATTTTACCTAAATTCCTTTTCTATTTCAGTTCCCTTTTCTTCAGTTTCTTCTTTGTCTTTTCTTTCCTTCCTTCCTTCATTTTCTGTTTTTTAATCGTTAATATTTTTTCTGCTTATAATAATTTTTAAGCCTTATTATTATTCACGTCAACGTCCTTAAGTTCTCAATTTAGCCACAGCTTGATGAAACCTTATCAATACAACATTTCTCTGGTTCTTTGCTAGACATGCCTATGTATCAGAGTGAAGAAAAGTTCAGTAATGTCTAGATAAGAAGAAAAGTATTGATTTCTAACCTAATTTCTTCATAATAAGGCACAGTTTATAACAGAAACCTAAGAATCTCAATTGACACGAATTTCTAACCTTTGCATTTCAGGATTTAAGCTCAGAGATTAGTAAACTGGGCGAAAACAAAAAAAAATTTTTATAATGTCAAAACCATTATATCTGCTATCACTTCAAATTTAAAAATGAAATTGACCACCGCTTTTGACATTTTTGATATTTCTTGGGCTAATTTTAATCAGCGTTTCAATTTGCTCATCATCATCGACGACTACATGAAATTTCTGGAATCAAAATTTCTACTTCTGAGCCTTGCGAACTACTTAACGAACAGTACCTTCAGCTATGGCACCATCCCCATAAATAGACATATCTTTTTTACTGTTTTTACAGCGTTTTATTCATTATCTAAATAATCTTTCTCAGGTGGGATTATCCATAGTTGCTAAAATCTATCATGTTTTTTTTTGTTTTACACACATAATATCTGAATTTTACATCTAATCATTTTCTATAGCATCAAGTGGCTGAGTTTTCAATTCAGAGTTTTCTTTTCCTATACTGGTTGCCAAACATGGCTAGAGAGTCCAGTTTACCCTACTGTTTAACCTATAACCCTTATATCACCATCATCATCCAACAATTCAGCTGTCCATCCAACCAAGAAAATCGCTTGATCACTTTCAAAAAAAAAAAAAAAAATAAAGACAATTATTTTTCAAGACTCTCTGGTAGCAACAATACGATTTCTCACTTAACCGTGAGAGCCTTCTTTCAGTTTCAAGAGGTGGGGCTGCTATCTTCCTAACTTCACTGGCCTCGGCGACTCCTGATTCCTCACTACCGGTCCTTCTGTTACTGGCCGCTGGGCAAGTTCCAACTCCTCTGGTCACCTACCTACTTCTCTCACGGTTGCACCCACTTTCCTCCCGACTTATTGCCCCCCCCCTCTCTCTTTCTCTCTGCTTATATGGATAATCCTGGATCTAGGCCACTCTATCCACTTGTCTTTCCGGAAGATTTGGGACCACCCCAAAGCCACATGGGTAGTCAAATCTTCAAAGTACTACTATCTAAAATCATTTATAATATTTTTATGTTTGCCAATTCAAAAGTAAACTGGAGACATGAATCCTGAAACACTAACCTATTCAAAATGGACTGGTGATAAAATTCCTAGAAAACTCCAATAGCTGAGTGGACTTAAAAGGAAGGCATTTATTTCCTTATCTTCTAAAGATGTGTGAGAAATCAGATTGTTACACTGGCTGCCAACCAAGGCTAGAGATTGCAGTTTTCCCTGCTACTTAACCCATATGCCGTCATCATCATCTAATCCATTCACTTTTCCTGAACCCAATGTCCACTGATGTCAAAAACATTCTTGATAATCCTTATTCTGTAGGATTATCCATGGTTGTTGAAATATGTTTTTTGTTTTACAGACATAGTATCTGCAAGCCATGTCTGCCAATGATGGCTAGAACCCCGTCTACCCTGCTGTTTAAAGTATAGCCGGGGGTTGGTGGACTCATGCCTTTCCCATTAGTATTAGTGCAGCAGTGAATGTAACGCACTCGACCGGGATTCGAAATCCGATCGCCGATTCTTCGTTCCGAGTTACTAACCATAAAAGTATTTTCCAATGTTGTATTTACTGCAGGTTTAGTTTTAAAAAAACCCAAACCCGGTATAAATTATAGGTTTCTATCTCTAACGCATTAAAATGCGCTGTCCAAAAAAATCCGGCCCGATTGGTCTTTCTGAATGGCCCGCTTAATTTCATGAGGAAAATAACGTTTCTTAAAATTTTCTTTCGTTCTCACTTGTTCACTCACTTGTTCACTCACATACTCTCTCATACATAACCACATATATAAACAATGATTAAGTACAATGTTTCTTGAATTTTGTAAACATTTGATGACAATAACGTTTTCATAATTTTAACCAATTGGCAATTTCACTAAGGGAGGTCATACGCGTAAACATCCTTTACTTTTGAAACATAATAGTTTTTCTATAAAGAAACGTATTTTTTTAAAATTTTCAAATGAATAGATTAGAAATGAATCACACTCAGCGACAATGATAATATTATACCAAGACTTCAATATTTTTAATTATAGAAAATTCTTTTCTCCAAAGAAAAAGAAGTCACCTTTTCCTCCATTTCAGAGGTATATGCTTACGTATATGGTCTTCTGTAGTGAAAATAGCTGAGGTAGCTACTACGAAAAATTACCTTGAATTTTTTTAGTAGTGTGTCCCGCCTTCTGGTGAGCCATGGATCATGCGGCCCACTGCTAAAAAAGATTACGCATGCCATGTTAAACAGTAGGATTTGTATCTGGAAAAAAATCATTGTTATTCTCAAGAAATTGTTGATGCAGTATTCAGTCGCAAAAGAAAAAAAAGAATTATTCTTACAATCAAAAATATGTGTCGACATTAACACACAAAGAGTTGATAAACCGCAAAAAACAATAATTGTAGCTCTAAACAATGTTTGTTCTTTTTCTATCCCTCCTAGCCTTATTCCTCGTTAGGGAGCTTTCTCAGTTTCCCTCTTATGGCCATATCACGTTGAAACACCGGTTCTCGTACGATTACCGAAGTTAAGCAACGTCGAGCCTGGTCAGTACCTAGATGGGTGACCGCTTGCGAATACCAGGTGTTGTAAACTTGGATATGCAGATGGTATAATGGATAACTGCTCGGAATTAGAAATCAGAGAGCCGAGTTCTAATTCAAGTCGGGTTTGTTATATTCACTTATACGAATATATTTACCCTTGCGAAAGGTGGGAATTCACCTCTTCTCTCCCAACTATAGGTTAATTAGTAAGACCTTTATCAATAAATGATTATTATCCCTAAAAATTTCTTAGAATCTCAAAATATTTTCTGGCTTTAAATAATCTGTAAAAGGTTGATAAGCCGTAAAGAAAAAACAAATCGCTCAATCATTTTTGCCTTCAATATGTCATGTGTCGTATCAAATTCTCTAGCTAGCGACTTATTGGTCTGGACATCAAGGCATGGCCACACCCCAATCGGTCGACTAGCAACAATATATATCGACCAACAATGCACAGATACTGGATGCTTCCTGTATGACCTCCTGAATTTGATCCAGGACCGTAATGGGTAACAGGAACGACGGGTGGGTGCCGAGATAGCTGGAATGTGTGATGGTCAGTACAACTGTTTTGGGTAACGCCAACTTTATATTATCCGATGAAAAGACTGTATTATCATTTGCCAGTGTTTGCATAACTGATTTCAGAAAATATTGTGTTGGTGCATAATTATCATGCGTTTTTGTAGACGAGTTATTTCTTAATAAAAATTGCTGTTTTGTTTATTTTTCTTTAATAAAAATATTTTATTTTCAGGTTATAAAAATGCGTGTCGATAATCAAATGCTCTGGAATAATTATTGAAAAATATTATTGTTGAATTATGTTTCTTTTTTCATAATAAATATTGTTTAAAAATGCCTGATAATTACGCACCAACCCAAAATTATCTGGCTTTCCTGAAAACAAAAACCATGTCTGCATAAAGTATTTAAGATTAATTTAATTAAAAGGCATGCTTTCAAATAGAAATGTTTTTTGCAAGATCAGTATGCGAAGTCCTGCATTCACTCACATGTATGTGCTATCATCTACTTAAATATATCTCCATCACGTTACTAGTTAAAATGAACTTTAGTATTGCAATAGAAAAAAAGGAATAGAGAAAAATGGGGGAGAGAGAGCGAAAGAGTATGGATAAGCAAGAGAAAGAAATGGTGAAGGACAGGGAAAAAAGAGAAGAGAGTGTAGAAGGTGAAAGAAAGAAAGAGGGAATAAAAAAAGAGAGATTAAGACGAAATAGAGTGAAGGAAAAAGAAAGAGAGGGTGTAGATACAGATAAGCAGACGAAAATGGAAAGAGAGGGGAGAGAAAGAGAAAAGGGAGAGAGACTGCAAGGGAAAAGAATTATAGAAGAAGAGGGAGAAGAGACGGAAATAAAAAGAAATGAGAAAGAAAGCGGGGGATGAGAGAATGGGGAAAGTGAAAGAGAGAGAAAGGGAAGAAAAAGAGAGAGAAGAGAGAATGCACGAGAAAGAGGGAAATAGAAACGGGGAAATAAGGGAGAGGGAAGTACAGATGATACAGTATTTATCTGTAAACGACTAGACAGACACAAAAAGATAATGTTCTAATTTTAGAGATCAATGAATCATTTTTTTTTTTTACCTAATGAAGATGATGCCTTGTTCAACCTTGGAAAATAACATACGAAGGTCATGCAAGTGCTACGCCCTATTTTATTTATTTTTTTAAATATCTGCAGTGGAGAGTGATTTGTCATTCGTGACACGTTGTCTGAACAATTGTTACTTTAAATAATTGTTAGCCTGTGTACAATAATATATGCCTGTTGTTGTGTAATGGACTTTCGGTTTGAACGCGGAAATATCGACAAATCGAGTTGGCTGCTGCCGAAGAGGAGATAGTACGCCATAGTGTCATATGGTCTGCAAATAAAAGCTATGGATTTTCTCCGGTTATTTCTGAAAATTGCCGAAGATTTAAATACTTGAAATCTGCAAAAATATAAATACATAAAATTATTAGTGCTGACCTGGCATCTCTCTTTCAGTTACTTTTCAAATGACCTGAAGTTGCAAGATTATAATGAATCAATTGCTAAGTCTACAGCTAGGAAAGTGGCTTCACTGTCTTGACATTTTTCTCCCCAGAAAGTACTGTATTTGCCTTTATTATTGGTCCGGACCTGGCATTTAGCTTTCAGTCACTTTCACGAACTAGCGTTTTCAGCTGACCTGAAGTGGCAAGATTATAATGAATCAATTGCTAAGTCTACAGCTAGGAAAGTTGCTTCACTGTATCGGGTTAGACAATTTTTTCGAATGAATCTATCTTACATATTTATTCGTTCTTGCTTTGAATATTGCTTCTTCACTCGTACCCCAAGCCTGCCGCGTCCCCCTAAACCGTCCTGAGCCTAGTGACGACTGAATAGTGAGTTCGGTTCTCATTGGGTGGTCCATATTTTCGACCTTGTGCCACATCTAAGCTACACTTAGAAAATCACTTGGTCACTACAATGATACAAGCAACCGATCCAGCCACTTTAGCGATGGAACATATGTACGAGTTCCACTTGAGCCATTTTTGAGCGATACAAATTCATACGTCGCAGATTACCATTCAAAAATTTTATACGGTCCGAGCAACATATTAATTCAAATAGAATATTGGTGCGAAAACAGAACTGTATCTTGTAAAAAATAATATAAAAAAAGAACATGTAAGGTTTTTTGGGGTTTTTTTTTTTTTTCAGTAGTGCATCTTTCATTTATCTTTATATTGGTATGGACTCATTCAAAATCAGGAATTTGGCATATGTGGAATAAAGGATCAAATAAAGGATCAAAAAACGTCAAACAAAATTTGGCACAGAAATTCAGAAAAAGACAAAATGAAACGGATCTCTTTTAATCGTCTGAGAGAACTCTTTTTAATTTCCATCAGAATGGCTGATGCTAACCTCCAGGACAGGGACTTGTTGTACCTTCTCAGACTAACGTTTTCAGCTGACTGGAAGTAGAAAGATTATATTGAATCAACTGTTAGGTCTGCTGATAGGAAAGTTTATTCATTGTATAGACAATTTTTTCTCGCCAGAATCTCTTACACATTTATAAGTCTACCATTCATCCATGTATTGAATATTGCTGCCACATCTGGTCTGGTCTGGTCTGGTCTGGTCTGGTCTGGTCTGGTCTGGTGCTCATGCTATATATTTAAAGAATTTTGATAAAATCCAAAGAAGAATCTGCAATATTATTGGTCCTGACCTGGCATGTCAGCTTCAGTCACTTTCTCACCACCATTGAATATTTTTATAAAATTGAATTTTTTTCAACTAAAATTGATAAATAAAAGCGGAAATTATTTATGACTCAGCCTAATAGTTACATTGGGAACGTGGTAACAATCAGTTATCAGCTGATAACCTTGCTCTCTGACCTTTGAACATGAGAAACCACACACCAGACCTTTGCACATCTTCTATCCCAATGATAGCGTGCATTCTTTTGCTAACACTTTCACGATTCGCTTGTTCGCCTATTTAAAGCAAGATAACCTATCTCTTGTCCAATGTCTAGTGGGGAAACTAACCGGCCTACAGATACTGGACTAAGCAATGAAAAATCGAGAAAAATCTACTTCCTTTTTTAACTAATGTCATTGCGTCGAAAATAGTAATAGAAGGTATTTATACACCTTCCTACTTATGTGGCACAAGGCTTTATTTATTTATTTATTGGGGTGCAAGGTCTTTTTTTTTTATTGTAGGTAAAAAAAAAAGAAAAATCGACTTTACTCTTTTGCGTTGCCTCACGCCATTTCGCACCGCTTCGCGCCATTTCGCACCGCTTCGCGCCATTTTGCGTCGCCTCGTGCCATTTCGCACCGCCTCGCGCCATTTCGCACTATCTCTATAAATATTTTTAAAAAAATCGATATAAACGAATTTTCAAAGTTAATATACCCCGAAAGCTGCTAATTTAAACTAAATATAAGATTTGGGTGTTTAAAACTTACCCCACTTCGAATTTTTTAAAATAATGTTATTGGTCCTGATCTGACGGCTTGGCTTCAGTCACTTTTCCACCGCCAGAAGGTTGCCATTCTGTGTCTTATTTTATAAATACTTTCATCGTAATTGTTCGAATGAGCTCTTCGATATGGTGCCTAGACTCTTCGAATTTAAGCGCAGTATTAAACTGGCATCGAGATTTGGTCAATTTACAGTTCAGCTGGCTAGATGTAGCCGTAAGTTCTATGCTAACAGTTTCTTTTCTCGCACTTCTTGATTTTGGAATTCCGTTCCGGCTCCATGCTTTGCAGTCAACTTTAATCTACAAAAATTTAAATACAACGCCAATCGCTATCTATTGTCCTCCTGATTACTCTTTTCTCTTCCCGCTCATTATTAATGTTTTTGTTCCTAATTCTTCCACACCCTGTAACCCCTTGTATTTTAGTGGCTCTATTGCCTTGCAAAAATTTAAATGCAATATCAATCGCTATCTACTGTCCTCCTGATTACTCTTTTCTCTTCCTGCTCATTATCAATGTTTCTGTTCCTAATTCTTCCACACCCTGTAATCCCTTGTGTTTTAGTGGCTCTATTGCCTTGCAAAAAATCAAATGCATTGTCTATCGCTATCGACTGTCCACACTCTTTCCTCTACTCGCTGTTCCTAATTCTTCTACACCTTGTAAGCCATTGTATTTTAGTGGCTTTACTGCCTGGCGTGGAGTGATGTCGATTATAAAAAAAGAAGTAAATCAAGGTGATATTTTTTATGTAAAAAAAGGAAAAAAAAAACTTACCCCGCCTAGCAATTTCATACTAAATCTTAGGTTTCAGTAGTAAAAAAGAACTAATCCTGTCTCACATTTAAAAAAGCAAATCAGTGGTGTGGTAAACATTTACCTCGCCTCATATTTCAATACTAAATAAAGAGTTTTAGTGTTAATAAATTTATTCCGTTTCATATCGTTTTAACTAAATCGATGGTTTCAGTTAAGAATTAACCGCTTGACATTTTCAGTTTAAAATAAGGACTTATTTACTGTTAGAACATTGATGA